TAAGTCATTTAAGCGGGTCGTATTACACATATATATATATATAAATATATATATATATATACTTATGGCCACACACAATTTTGCATATAACCCGCATGCAAAATTTCTTCTCCGCTATTTAAACTCTTTTTCGAGCACATTTTGCTGTTCGCATGTATTTTTAGCATTTTATCATTTACTACTTTTCAGCTTCGCTTATTTGGAATTGTTTGATGGCGAATGCTGTCATTTCTGCCATTCATCATTGAAAAGTGACTCAATTAATGATGTTGCCGACAACGATGCTAAGGACGCCGACGTTGTTGTTGTTGCTGTTTTTTTGTACTGTACTTCTAGACTGCGTGTTCTTGCGCCTCTTGTTATCTTGTGGTATGATGTTGAGCTGCAGTGCGTTGTACATTTTACTTTGGCTTTACTTTTTACAATTAAATTTATATATACAAATTTAAATACAAATTTATTTCATTTATAAAGATATAAACCATTTGTGTGTGCTCTGTCTGTATGTGTTCAGAAATTGTAGCGAAATTAAAAGCGAAATAAGTTGTTGATGTTAAATTTTAATGACTTTTTAAATGTAATGAAAGTAATTTTCACTGAAATACACTCAACACAGCAGCAGCAGCACACCAAAATTTTTGTATAAAAAAAAAAGAAATTAACTTTAATTCTAAAATAAAAAATAAAATATAAAACACAAAAATAGAGCAGAATTCAAAATGTAATGAAATAAAATGAAACAAAATAAGTGGGAGAGAGCATAACATAAAAACGTAAAAACTTTATTTTATACGTTCGTTCACGAGGGTAAATCCAATTGTGAAAATGGCTTTGGCAGCAAGGAAAGAAGGAAGGAAGGAAACAAATGCTGAAGCAGCAATACTGAAGTGGCTTAAATGAAATTAAGTAGTACATCGCTCCGTTTTACTCATATAATTATATACACACATATTTCCATATACACATACATACACTCGTTTATAGCTTAACAACTAAATTGTTCGCAATGAGTTTCTGTGTGTGTGTGTTGGTGTATAAAAAGGATTAATTAAAGTAGGGAAGGCGGCATTATGCTGAAGACACTGAGTTTTTAGGGTTTGTAATTAATTAAGTGAAGTTTGCAATTAAAGAAAAAAAATCAACAAACTCATTAGGATTATTTGAGAAGTAGTCAAATTAATTCAATTAATAGTATTATTATCATTTTTATTGTTTAAGAGATCAAATCAGTAGTTGTGAGATTTTTGGTTCTAACTACAATTTTTTGAAATCCAAAAAATATATTATAAAAATTTTATAAGATTTTCAATCTTACTTATTCACTTAATTGGCTATTGCAGACATTAGACGTCTAAGTCCACATCCAATAATCTCCGACCATTAATCCAATTAGTGACTTGCTTTCGCCAATTGGTAGTACTGAGTGCCTTGAAATCGTTTGTCATCTAGTTCTTTCACAGAAAATGAAAACGTCCTGTACCGTGTTTTCTGCTGGCAGTCTTGGTTCTTTCCCAGGATTGAATACATTGTGAATATCTGCTGTATGGTGAATATGCTACGACTAAGGCTACACCAATAAGGTTCGATCAGTCGGCTGCCGATAACTTGCATATGGGAACAGCCTAATACCAGTTGCGTACATTGTATGAACTCTGTGAAAGATTGAAGCGGTATGGCATCTCACTGCCATTATGACTCTGCAGAATGACATTAGACAGTACTCGTAGGTCCATCGACTCTCTTTTAGTCTTTTGATAACGTGCAAGCTTTCAGATAAGTTGATCTTTTATCACATGATTTTTCCAATTTCGAGATTAATATCATCATGCGCAAGGCAGGTCTTTATCATAAAAGCATTATTCTCTGCAAATGTGTTTAGCTCCGACAACATCGATATACTGCTGTTTACTGCTGTCGAAAAGAATGCTGTGAAAATATGTTTGGCGGTGAATGTGGAACTAATTGAGTACATATCGGTTATTGGTAGAAATGTGCATCGCAAGGACACCGATCTAATAGCTGTAGATTATAGTTTTGAAACTGTTTAGGATTTCCTTAGCACAAATAATAATAATGTCAACCTAGAAATGAAACGAAGAATCTGCTTAAACAGTACTTGCTACTACGGGCTCAGGAGGTAATTGGAATTCAGACGTATCCTCTTTCGACAAATAAAACTTACGCTATATAGGTTGCTCATCCTACCCGTGCTTCTGTATGCAGGTAGAAACATGGACGCTATCACAGAATGATGCAGTAGCACTGAGAGTTTTTGAGAAAACTCTAGCACTGTAGCACTGTAAGATTTTTGTTCCTGTATGAGTCGGCATGTCTTTGTAATATCTGTATGAACCACGAGCTGTACGAGTTTTATTACGACATTGATATAGTTCAGTGATTTAACATAGAGCAATTTAATTGGATTGTTCATGTTTTGAGCATGGATAAATATGCTCCAGCGAAAGAAGTATTTGAAGCGGCAGTTGAAAAAAGAAAAACTTAGAGGTATACCGTGTATCCGATGTAGAGATCAAGTTGTGAATACTAATCCCGCTTAATGTACGAGACTGGAGAATGCTCATCAGAGACACTGGAAGAGGCGTGTTGCGTCAGGCCGAAACCAAGTAATGGGGTTTTATCATCATTTTAGTAAGTAAATATATATAACACACATATTTATATGCTTTTTAATGAGATACGTCTTACTGCTTTTGGTACTAAATTTACCATATATAATACTATACATATAGATTATATATGTTTATATAACACCATATATGTTATTTTTTTTTTCTGGATCATTTTAGTAAGTATATATACCACACATAATTATATGATTTTTTTTGAGGTATATTATACTGCTTTTGACCCTACATTTACCATATAATACTACCAATATATAATATACATATATATATAATACCATATATTTATGTATGATATTTCTTTCTGCTCTTGAGTATGAAAATGAGATTTCAGTTACCGGTTCCTTATTTAGAGTTGAGTTTACCAGATTAAACTCTTTTGATGCCTTTAGGTAGAAAATAAAAATTCTAAATATGTGCTTCCATTACTATTTCAAATACGGTAAAGGAATTGCAACTAATTTTCCATTCACAAAGTAACTGCAATTGATTTATAAATAGAAAATATTGTTGCCATTTTTCGTATTAAATATACTTAATTATCCAAGTAGCTAATATTCATATTAATCACAAAAAATATTAAAAAGAAAACAAATAATTTGTATAAAAAAGTAATTACTCAAAGTGACTTGAGTCAACACAATTGCATTTGGTAATAAAAATTAATTAAAAACATTAGTGAAGAGAAAAAAAACCATTTACTTAAATAACTATTATTTATAAAAATAAATATTTCGCTTTAAGAAACTATTATAGCTTCAATTTAATTGAATGTGACTAATTTCCCTCGTACATAACGGCGAAATGACGGCACGGCGTATGAGTGACTAATTGTGCAGATGAATTTGTGTAAATTACTCATACGCTACGTAGAACAAATTCAGAGACAAACAGAGCAGCGAACAATTACAATAAAACTGAAACAACAATAAAAGTAAAAACTAAAAATTAATTTATTTAATTTAGAAATATTAATCTCAAAATGTTTGCACATATTTAATTATTACACAAATAAACAAGAATATTGTAGAAATTTTCTAATGAAATTTCATGCGAAAACATTTTAACAATTACGAATGTAATTAGTATCCGCAATTAAAATAAAAACTTATGCCACGCACAATGAGTTGCCCAAAATGTACATATAATTATGAGAATATAGGGTACAAGTTCCTAATTAATTTGAAATAAATGCGCATACATACACACATAGATATATACAAACGAAGGAACTCGTATATATGCAAATTCACACTGGGAGAGGAAAAAGTTTTAACAATTTTGTTTACTTTTAATTGCTACCATTTGTGCTCCACTGCATGCCTTGCATTTGTAACTTTCCATATAACTTTAGATACAAATATATATATGTATATATGTATACAGATATGTATATGCAGTCTGAATTTTGTGAAACCCCTTATAGACAAATGAATGCAATTCGGTCGTAAATGGCTAAAGTGTGCATAAATTTTGAAACAGTTTAGCTCCATCGAGTTTAAATGTTGGCGTTTATTTCAAAAGCCATAAATGCATTAATTAAAAGTACTTAATACTTTTTTGTTTTGTTTTATATTTTTTTTTATTTTATTACATTTTATTGCTGCTTTATTTGTTTATACACATAAAACTATATGAAGTTTAAAATTCATATAACGCATAAGTTATAGAGCAACAATCCAAAGTCATGCAAAAAGGATATTAAGAAATAAAAGCCAGAAATTATGCATTAAGTAATTTCTTCGTAAATTCTTCAACTATACTCAGTAAGGAAGTGTATATAGTATAAGAAGATAAATAGGTGTTGTATATAGATATATTTCTTCGTAAACTCTTAAACTATACTCAGTAAGGAAGCGCATATAGTATAAAAAGATAAATAAGTGTTGTATATATGTGCATATATGAATATGGACTATGGATATACCATATAAATGTATATATACTCATAGTAATTACGTTTTGGAAAGACCACATTATAGTTGAACCTGTTTTTAAATACTTGTAATTAAAATTAAATTAAACGACAAATACACAAGTTTTTAGTTTAATGAGTTTGTAATGAAGTAAGCACTTTACAATTTTAAATATTTCTCTTTTTTTAATCTAGTCTGTAAATTTTATGAATTACTTTAAATGCTTTAAAGTCATTAGAAGTTAAAATTATATCTTTAAATTGCAAATAAATGTCGGAAATAGATGTCATTAAAGTTTTTAATCATCTTAACTATTAGTTTATGTTTCTCTCATTATAAACTCTACTTAACATTTTTATTTAGTTTTTAAGCTAGAATTAAATATTTTTATCTTTTCACATTGACAGAAAAATATTTTTTATAATTATTAATTAATAAGATTGTCGTCAAGACACCAACACAAACCAGCAAGGCTGCTGCTCTCAATCTCGCCAAATCACTGAAACAAGAAAAAACTGTTGTTTATATACTGTCGAAGAAGACTTCAGCTACGGAATTGCAAGATGCCATTGCCGAAGCACCTCAACATGTTAATAAACCAGAAGTCTTCTTTATTAAATATCGCACAGCTGAAGAAGCTGCACATGCTCAGCGACAAATTCAAACACAGTACGATAGTTTGGGTGGCAGTTCCACTATTACAGATGAGGGTGTGGCACCAGTAATATCTGTTATAGGTTCATTAGATGCTCCTGAGGAAGAGGAAATTGATGAACAACAATTGCAGCAATTGCCACAGGAACAGAGTTCACAACAACAGCAACAAGTAACGCAATTGTATCAGCAATCGTTGGTGAATGGTAACAGCATTGGTAATCAATATTTGCCACCGAGTCAGTATTAGAGATCTTCGATGTATCTTTAGTTAATACTAAAGCTGTTACGAGGCTTAAGAGGCTTACGATGCAGTTTAGTTTTTATTGCATTATCTGTCTTTCATTATGATTTGTACATAACATTTTAATTTATTTAGCTTACAACTTGTCACCTGGTAATATCACAATGAAATGGAGATGAAAGCCAATGATGATGAGATTAAAAATAAAGTCCCTACGTATAATATATTTCGCTTATTGATTGTACATATTTAATATATTTCTCGAATCAAATGCTTCAAATGAATATAATTAACCGATTAATGCATATATTAAAAGTATTATACACTTTTTAATCAAGTTAGCTCGAATACATATATAGTAAATTACAAAAAAATAAACAATAAACGGCAAAAGCAAGAAAGTGTGCTAGTTAACAGCACTACATTAAGCAAGAAAGATATTTCGGTACGGTTAAAAATTTCTAAAGAAATCAACTGTATTTATATTTCCAATTCTACAAAGCTATCTACATATTTCTGTAATTAATTTGCATTTGTTTTTTTGTGCAAGAATAGCATTCAGAGTGAAAAAGGTCTTAAGAATAGTGTAAGTGCTACACTCATTACTTCTCTAGTTAATTTAAAGGGAGGTTAATTAGTTTATTAATATATGGGAAAAATTTAATTGTGATACATGTGTCGAAACTGGAAAATAAAATTTATCTTTTTTCTCTTTAATAACATATCAATTACAACTAAAAAAAATAAATTTTCAACATAATATTTTATATTAAAGATTACGTATAAATTTGTTAATAAGTGCTTGTATAAAGTAGTTACTTGGTATATTGTTGTAATATTTTAATATTAACACATGTTATAAAATTAAAAATATTTCGTAACTATTCTCCATTTGATAATCAATAATAAGTTCTAGCATTTATAGATGATTTCACTAGCTATGGAAAAAATATAATAAAATAAAAAGCATATTTTTATATTTGTTTTCCATTTTCTGTAGCGTATCTGAACTCCACATAGAGTCCATAGTTTTCAAAATTGATTATCTGTCATTCGAATTTAATTCTAGGTTATTATTATAATGTAACGATAAATGCCTCTATTAAAATTCTAAGGAATTTAACCGGTACCAATCGAAGCTATTCATTTGTTTCTTCATTGAATACAACCGAGCTCCATATAACACTTCTGCTATTCTTTGGGTCACAGCACCCGGTTGGGAAATACAACTTCACATCGAATAAAAGAGGTGAATATAATCATTTTACCCATATAACTTTAGGTCTTAACCACAGCCAACACGATTTTTCCAGCAAAGGGAACAACCTCGATTAGTATGGAAATCTATGGGCCGTGACCTCGTGATACCAGATTTACACCCATCGATCAGGTGCGGCAAGTAAAATTCAGTCGATACCATTTATACTCTAAGCAGTATGTGGGATAGTACTAACTGGAAATTTTTTTGAAAAAATTATGGTTCAGTACGTATTATAAGCTTTACAGTAAGACTGACATAATCTTATTGAATACAATAAAATTCTACAGTTTATTCTTTGGTTTATGCGAATGAAAGAAAATGGAAAATAATCCTCTATACTCTTAAATGGGATGTCTGATAGTGGCTGCCCGCATAATTGATAAAAGGTTCTGAATATGCAATTTGAGCTGAATAATAAGGTCTTAGAATTACCCTTTTTTTCTAATAATAATTTATGGGTGTTACTGTTACTGTAAATGTGCTTCTAAATAATATTATAGTTGTTACTGAAGTATTGCTTATAAAATTTTTGTGAAGTAAATAGGTGAAAAGTTTTTAAAATGGTCCGTACTCCTTAGAAGAAAGCACAGTAATGTTCGCCACCATTTTTAAAGGAAGTGTTAGATAACTGTTGATTTCATTTCATTCGCTACTACAAACTGAGTATGGGAAATTGCTATTGGAACTGGCTGGTAGCGATACATGTCGTAATGGTGAACTAAGACGGATAATGTCTCGGATTCTTCTTTTTTTTTTTAATATTTTATTATTATTACTATTACTATTGCAATAGTTAGGTTTGTAACTATTTTCTTGTTACTAATACATTATTGTTGATAGTGTAGAAATGAATCTGTTGAAAATTACAAGTTTATAAAGTTTACGTGGGAACCAAATAGATAAAAGACTCCTAGGATCTTCTATATTCATTAGTAGAAAGCGCGTCAGTAGACACCCGCAACTTTAATGGAATGATCAGATAGTACACTATCAAATGTTGTATGATACTAAGTACTGACTAAAACAAGCTGATGTTCGAGATGGCTGGTGGAGACTATTGGACGATATGCCATGAAGGATGATACTATCAACTATGGCCGACCAAGACGAATGAAATCTTAGTAATGATAATAGTTTAATAGTTTATAGGCGTTACTGTAATTGTTGTAATATTTTGTTTTAAAACTATTACTATAATTGTTAGCGATATATTCTTGTTAATATTATGTTAAGAATTAGGATTAATATGAAGTTTATGATGAAAGCGAGTAAGTGCAAATTTCCTACTTATGAATATAAACATTCCTAATGCAATAGTTATTTATTAGCAATTGTTTAAATAATTAATTTTTTTAATATTAATCAAGTTTTACATAAGTCTTACACAATAAGAAAACAATTCACTTTAAATACAAAACGATTGAGTTTCCTGATTTATACAATACAAAATAATTGCATATTAATTCCGTAATTAATTGCATTTAATTCATTGAATTATATTTGCATACGGCAAAATGCGAGAGTTTTCGTCTTAAGTGCTCTATAAATAAATATTATTCAAAACATTTTAATCCAATTAGTTGAAAAATATTTAATATTTAGTATTACTACTAAGAAGTTGAAATAAAATATGCAAAATCAGGCACACTGGCAATAAATGCATAAACACGCATACATGCACAACCACACACACACATGCATACGTACACATAAACGTACATGTGTAGACGGAAATTAATAAAAAATACTGGTAAGTAGATAGTAACGGCTCGGTAATGCGATTAAATTTGTTATTTATTTGCATTTAACATTTTAAGAGCAACTTTTTCACTGTGCAACACTGAAAAAAGCGAAACAAATGACCCAGTAAACACGTTTCAAACGGTCCGTAATACGTGAGGAAAATCGAATGGAATTGTTTACTGGGTACTGAGTCAACAATGGAAAGGTGGCATAAATGTTGATACCCAGCAGTTATTGCTTATTGCGTGTTGCATATTCCAAATGACATTTCGCTTTTAAATTTGTGAGGTGCGAAGAGGGATTCACTTGCAAATGCATAAATTGCCACTTCGAATATTGATTTTATGAGTTCATTTGAAACAAAAAAACACAATAAATCAAATAGAAAAGGTAATCTACATACATATATGCATTAATTTAAATGAAATTCAAAAATGTTGAATGCAAAAAATATATAAAAATATCGTTCAGAAAAAAAGGAAACAATTTTTCAAATTGCTAGTGCTTAAAATACATTTTCAGTTGAATTCATTTCGGTTGAATTGTTTAAATTTAACTCTGTTCCATGTTTATTTTATTTGAGTTGTCGCTTTCATGTTTATGTGTTTAATTTCTACTAAAATTCCGTTATAAAAAGCATTTAACAGACACTGGCATATAAATGTTCAGACTCTCGATGGTCACATAGCACAGAGTTGCATGTGGCAGGCATGCACATCAATAAACAATTGAAATCCTTTTGGCAAATTTGCTACCGATTTATGCATTCGTGCGTGCTGTGATTAGCATTTTACAGGCTGAACAATTGAGAACGTTTACGCAAAACATAATGCAAATATCCTGCGGTAAGTTATGCTTCCACTACAGATTGCAACTTTTTTATCGCTCGTATATTTGAACTTAATCCAGATATATAAATAAATATATAGAATGATTGTCTGTGAAAAAAATTAATATATTAGAAAAAATCAAAGTTTGATAAACTAAAAGCGTTTATATTGATGACACTTAACATCAGAGAACTGAAGATTAAGTAACTAAACTATCAAAATTATCACTAACTGACATCAAATAGAATTATAAACGAAATAACATCCAACCTTGTCAAAACACGGCTTTGCAAATTGTGGTCATCTACCATCTTATTTGAATCTTTATGCAGACTCGAATATGCTTATTGTGAAAGATCAAAATTAATTGCTGTCCAAGCAATGCTTTTTTGCTGTCATACAGACGGACACCCAATGGCATAATGATTAGTAAAGGCAACTCTATTACACCCACCACCCTTATAAAATTATCGATAAAAAAATTTTTATTTTTAAAAATATTTTTTACTTTTATTACAATATAGTATTATTATTATAATAGTATTATTATAAAATAGTATTATTTTTTAAATTATGCAGGACTGAAGATGGTCTACGAAGTATATCGAAATATTTATTAATAAAATATATTACATAAATTTATCACTGTGATATTTTTATTTAATTTAAAGTGTCTTTTTTATATAATACGAGTTATTATATAAAAATATAAATTTAAAACCACGACCTAAAGCCCGCCAAAATTTAAAACATAAACATTGAGGTCGACACTAATACAAACATTCTAAAATAGTATTATTATAAAAATACTGACACGAGTTATGGAGAATAACACACCAAACAAACGTAAACAGCGAGATAAGAAGAAAGAAGTATGGTTGTATTGGACACACACTGCGTAAGCCTTATCGCGCATATTGCACTTACTTGGATCTCTCAGGGGACTAGTCACAGAGGCGGACCAGTAATGACCTGGAGAAAGACAGTTCAGCAGGAGACGGGGAAATCATTAATTGAGTTGAGAGCAACAGCACAAAATAGAAACCAGTGGAAAACTTCTGTAGAGTTCTTAAGTTCCTAATAGAGTATGAAAATAATAATAATATAAAATACTAAATTTTGAAAGTCTAATTTTAATTCTTTAACATTGTATGTTAGTCAAGCGATCTTTT